ACATCATCCACAGGATAAGTAGCTCGGTTTGTAACTAGAGCTTCACCTTTCTTTCCTATAAAATAAAATGATACAACAAGAAAATCTCAATTCAGATTTGTAGAATGCGTTTTGGTATTTGCGCAAAAGCTTAATACAACTACAAATCATAGCCAATAAAATATCAAAAGAGCCACCCGTGAGAGACGCCAAACGCGGCAAAACACGCGCGATTCAATTAAAGGCAACTGCTTCCAAAGCCAATCACACACATTTTCACAGCATGAAATTATAAATTTACGAATCCGTAAAGATGCCGTAAAGTAAGCGTTAAGATCCTCTTAAAGCGTCTTTACGAACTTTTTTACACTTTCGCAAAGAATGTCTTTACGCATTGAAAACGGTAGTAGGTAAAGATCACGGAGAGAGACTAAAAACGCCATCTTTACGTGCCTTGTAAAAAGTCATATAGAGAATATTTACGATATTTTATGACGACTGTATTACTATTACTACTGTTAAGGACGCGTAAAGTGTTAAAAGCGAAACTGGTCAAAATACCACGGTAATTCTACGGAAGATGGATGAGCTATAATCATTTCACTTCTTTGAGTATTTCTCCACATAGAAAGTGCTTAATTATAGCGGAGCTCGTAGAGCGTAGCCTCATAATTATACAAAATTGTAGTAACCCATCGAGCCGAAAAAAAAAAATTTGGATGTACGACCGTACGACCGTACAAGGTGCCACTTTTAACATGCGTGGTCAACTGTACCGCGGGCACGCCAACGCCACGGCTTCGACCACTAGTCCAATGGTCAGTGCACTGAGCTCCGAGTCGGACGACCCGGGTTCTAGTCCTGGCCGGGGCAAGGCGTCGTGCCCTTGAGACGTGCGGGGAAAAAAATGCGAGCTCCACTTTTAGGCTTGGCTAAATCTATACATTATCCATCTTGATCCTTATCCTTTACGAACATTCAATGTTCTTTACGCAGTCTTTCGCTTTCTCTGCATTTACGGAACGCGGAACTTGTCCGTAAAGAAGAGGCTTTATATTTACGTTCTTTACGCAAGAGTTAAAGATGCGTAAATTTGCGATTTCATGCTGTGATGGTAACAACACAAAACTGCATGAATTCAGGAGTGCATCCGACGCCGCTTTTATTATCTTATATTATCATAGTTGTACCCTTCCAATCAAAATGGCGCCGAAGCCACGTGCGACGTATACTCTCACACTCAATTGTACCTGAACTATTTGTAACGGTGTATTGCGTTTAGAATTGACGGAACTCACTTTGCCTCGCAGTTCTCATCCTTTCGATGAACGATCTTCCAGTGAAGACTTTGTCCTCAATTGCTTCACACAAAGTTTTAAGTAAGGGGACTACTACTTTCCCTTCATTTTCCAAATCTGCAAAGCAAGCATTTTATTTTGTATCTATCCAGACGCTGTATGTTATCAATTACAAATGAAACTGACCAAAAGCAACTTCCTGTTTCCTCTTCCTCTCCCCCATTCCGCCCTTTCTCCACTTAATCCAGGCTTTCAAACTATTGTCTCACTCCCACTTAAGTAAAATAAAATCATATCCTCATCTCACCTGAAAAATATAATTCCTCCTCTTTCTCTCTATGTTTTATATCTTTACACACTGCAATCAAAAGAATAGTGAAACTTCTCAAACAGCTGTGTTACTGGTCCTAGGGATGAGGTACTTAACAAAAATTTCCCCTCTGAAGGATATCATTTTCTTACAGCGAGCAGCAAAGGCCTTTTTTTTTTCTATCAATAGAACGTAAGCTTAGTCGAGAGAACATAAGTTCGTGTTTTCTTCATCCTGAGCCAGCCTAATAACTCAGATTGACTGCATGAACGTTCAACTACAGAATCATTCAGGAACTGCAGTTTTAACTTGGAACAACTGAGCTGTTCTTTCCGTCTGCCTGTGATTTCGTTTTTCGAACGGCCGCTTTTTCACTTCATTGATTTAGTCAGCGAATCAATCGTGCGACGATCAATTATCGAATAAAGTATTAAAACGCTTTTTTTAAACCACTGAAAATCGTTAGGATGCGTCGTTCCAAAGTCAAATTCAGTTCGGTTTACAAAAAACGAACTTTCCTGGAGACTTTCGAGTACTGTTGCATACTGCACCACTGGGATCGGCAATTTCAAACGTCAACAAAGATTACAACATCGATGAAAATAGAAATAACACGTGATGTTGAGCTTGTTGTTTAACATCAAGTGTTATTTCTATTTCTATCGATGTTGTAATCTTTGGTGAGTTTGAAGGGGGTTTTTCTGAATATCAGCGATGTGCCAATATCGATATCAAAAACATGCTTTTTACCGTTCAGCTATTAATTACGTTTTGTGGTTGTCAAAAAGAAATAACATCTTCTGAATAATAATTATTTGCTATTCTTACATCTTTCATGATTTAAAACGCTGTCCTTACGCGTTGG